AGGCAAACGAGTCAGGATACTGTGGAAAAGACAATGTCTGTGTGAATTAAGACTACATCATAACATGTTCACAAAGAAGCTGGTTTGACGTTGCTTGTGCCCAGGTGCAGTTGTGATATTTATTTGCTAGAATTGCTAGATAAATTAAGACAGTGCTAAATAAAAAAGAAGAATGTTGAAAAGGAAATAGAATGTTTTTCAAAAAATACATTTTAATGAGTTACTTTAAAAATTACTTTACAGATTAATGTACTTATCTAAGTAGCATGCTAGATGAAAGGAGGATAATGTGAGAAATCCTTTTATTTTTGTGAGGGTTTTTTTTTCAATTTACCATGCCAAATAATACCAAAATAAAGAAAGTGTGAGTGTTAAGAGGGGAGTATGAATAGACTTAATAAAAGGGAATTAGTCCAAAAAGGTTTCAGTGAGAGAGAATATATGGAAACTAGCTGCAGGGAAGAGCGCAGAAACGTATTTGGAACAGAAGATGCTAGATGCATACCATGTATTTCATATACATGGATTCACAAACTTCCGTTTTATTCACTAAATGATACAGTATTTTGAAGAAAGACGTTCTCAAAAAAAAAAAAAAATAACGGGGGAGGGGGGGGGGGGAGTGCTTTCTACTGCTTTCCTTACAGTAGAAACCTGCTTTAGCAGTAGAAATCTGTTTTAAAACAAGTCTTTTGAAAGATAAAAAATTAGCCAGCAGAAAAATCAAATGTAAGAGAAAATTTAGAAGAGAAATGTTGAAATTGGTTGCTAGGAGAAGAGGCAGTGGGATGCAGGGTAAAAAAAATGTGGATAAGAATTTTGCAGAGGCTTAAAGATATGGATGAAAAGCTTTAATTGGATATGGAAAGATAAATAATTTTGCAGGAAAGAGATACAAAGATGTATACACAGCACTACACTGAGGGTTTCCTTGTATGACTATTAGATCAAGACGGGAAGAAATCTTTGTTAGGTGTCAGGGCCACAGTAGATACTTAGTCTTGAAGAATTAGCAGAATCAGTGAAAATAATATCAGTGAGAGAGTACAACATGTTTACATTCAGCACCAAATAAAATGATTTATCTAGCTTTTGAAAAACATGAAGCTGCTAGTTTATGAATGGCTGGGCTTTCGTTCTGTGTTTGCATTCTGCAGTTGTGCTGACCTTCTTTATTAAATAACCGCAAGTAAGATTGCAGCCTGCTGAATGGGAGGCGAGGAAGGCCAATTGAGTGAATTGGCTCGCATCTGTGTCTTATTGCATCTATCCAACAAAAGGCCTCTGTAATGAGTACAAGCATTTTTGCGATCTGAGCCTCTTCCCCTCACAGCTTTAATTTACTCCTGTCTCAAGTGGGAGACAGTGTGAAAGTAAGGAGAGTCCCTTAGAAAAATTCCTCTCCCTTGCCATTTTTGTGTCACCAAGTCCACTGCAGGTTAAACATTATCTGATGAGAGCTCAGGCACGTAGATCTCCTTTAGGTGTCCACAAGAGACTGCAGCCTCACAGGCCAGTGTCCATGAGGTTTTTGTTGTCAGAAAACACCTTGTGTAGTGAGTTGATCTTCAGTGAAATCAAACACTTATTTGCTTTTCAAAAATATGAGGGAGGTACAAAAAGCTTCTCTAATGACAGTGTGAAACTCTACCCCAGGTCAGATATATCCCGTAGGCCTTTCACAGTATCTTCTATAGATGTTAGACCCATCAATGCCTTTGGAACTAAGTCTTCTGAAGTTTGAATACAGCTTTTTTTCCAACAAAAAGTCGTATAAGTTCCTGAGGTTCTTATTATGTGAACCTGTTAAGCTTGTGTTTTTATTTTTAGGCATGTGCCATTTATTAATTAGTTTTACAGTACATCCTAACAGTCACAAAAATTCACATTTGCCCAATTTATATGCTCAGAGTGAAAAAGCCTTGGAGTTTCCACACTATCAATCTTAAGAGTCAGAAAATAATTTTTTTTTAAAAGTGGTTTATTTCCTTTCATCTTCTTAGAGGCTATTAAAACAAAACAAAACAAAACAAGAAAAACCAAACCACAAATCCTCAACACTTTAATTCTAGTGCTTTTTAAGGAGTAGCCTTAGTAGCCCTTGAAAATAAATGATCACCAAATAAGGGAAGTATATAGCTCAAAAACCTTGCTGTTTTTTAAACATAGTTGCTTCAGTATTCTGCATAAACAAATGTTGTCAAAATGCATACTACCTTTTGGAAGTCTGTAGTTACACAAAGGAAAATACTTAAAAGACTGAGATTAATTGCCTTTCAAAACAATGCATGTTTAATGCTTTAAACAACTTGTCTTGGAAAAAAACATATTATTTCTCCTTTTCTTACTTAAATAATGCATAATATTCTTCAGGAACTATGAGGAAGTAATATTTTTTGTAATAGGAGTTTCTGTTCCATAGATGTAACCAGCTGTATATAAACAGTGTGCTTATGTCTTCCCAGTGTTTGGATTGATAAATATCTCTATGTTGAGTGAGAATTGGTTAAAACCTGCTGCTCTCTATTTACAGAACAGAGGTGGATTAATTGGGGTATACTTTATATCTGCGTGTGTATTTTACAATTTACATTAGATAAGAGTTTTACCTATACTAAAATGATGATTTTAAAAAAGAAAAGTAGTGAATGAAAACATACAAAGAGCTGGGCTAAGGGGTCAGAGCATATTTTACTAGTATGCTATATTTGGCATTACTTTAAAGAAAATGTCTGTTCTGTCTCCAGTGTTTTGTTTATTTCACCATTTTAATTGAAACTGGAAATACTAAGAGTCAAGAGAACTCTGAACATTTGTCAATTTGGACGAATTTCTAGCAATGATTCACAGCTTTTTTTTTGCCTCTAGCTGCTGCCATTTTTTTTAGGCAGCATGAGTATTATGGAATTGTCTAGAATCAAATATTAACATATTCACAGAGGCTTCTAGTCTGATAATATAGTAGTCTTCAGGGCAGCTGTGGTGAAAATTTAATTACATTTTTCTTTTTTTTGGAACAGTCCTAAACTAGATTGGCAGTGTAGATCAAAACCAGCTAAGGGACCAGTGTAACAATGCACTTATAAATGCATTTTCCTTAGGTGTTGTAAATATTAAAATATTTTAACTAAATACTTAATAGGAGCATAGAACAGGTTACAAAACAGCCTGGAGCAGAAAAAATATAAATAGTTAATTGCTTCTGACTAAAAGTTACACTATGAATATGGCAAACCAAAACCAAATCTCTTTGGATACTAAAAGCAGCATGCAATTCACAACATTTCCTCCTAGCATCTGAACTATAAAATAAACTTTTCCTGAGTAGCATTGTGTGTTATAACTGCTGAAAGAAACATCTGCTCAACAGTTCCAGTTTTCTCATTGTGGAATGCTCCAAATGATCTCATCTTTTCTCTCCAATACGGAGTTAATTTTCGTATCTGAATCTTCATGTTTTGGCATTTGTCTATGGTGACTACTACAAGCCTTGGGCTGTGTTGGAACCTGAATGCATGGCATAAACATTCTTTATTTAAAATTGGGAGACAATAAAGAATGGAACAATGTAGGATGATCCTAGGAATTTTATTAACTGTAGGAAAACTGTTCATGTTTAATTTCATAGTAACAAAGTACATTTATTGTAATATAGTACATTTATAATAGGTGGATTAATACATGGCAATCCTGTGTAGTTGGTACTCAGTGCATATCTCAAATGACTGATAATCTGTGTGTTGGTAATAATGTTTTGCTTATGTCTGTGTAGCTCTTTGGTCCAGCATAAATTGGACAGAGGTCTGTGTGAAGGATCCACTTTAAAGAGTCAGAAATTTTTCCATTTAAACTGCTATATTTCTTAGGGTTAATCTATATGTTACAAAAATATTGACAACCAGTGTTCAAGCTTCTTGTTAGCTAATGAAGTAGAAAGAAGGGATTTGCACATTTCAGAAAAGGAGAAAGGACCACAAGCATAGGAGGGTGTCGCCATACTCAAATTTTGGCAGCATTACAGATTGGCAAAACCAAAGTAAGCTTTTTTTTCAACTGTCTCACAGTGCATTGTCCCTTGGACTTTTTATATAAAGAAACAAGTAGTCTGTGTTTTAGAACTCCGAGTTGGAAGGCCTTGGGAATTAACTCTGCAGCTGACTGGCCTTCTATAGCTAGCATATATATATATATACAGGGATATCCATATGAGTTCTGGGCAACACATTGTACTAAGCTGTGCAAATTCAAAATGTGCCCTGAGATACGTGGTCATAGTAAAATGAAATATCTTTTCATTTATTTAGTGGTTTTGTTAAAAGGCTTTTCATCCATAAAACGTGTAAAACTTTTAAACTGATTAGCAGCTTGAGATTCTTTTCCTCATAGAAATGTTGCCTTCTGTGTACAAATTACTATTGTATACTGAGTATCACAGTTTTCTTTATTACAGCTGGAGGAGACATTTGATTCAAGAAGCTCAGCTGTTTATTCTTGTGTCATTATTGCTTGGCCTTTTCATAGCTGCTAAAGGGAATAAGAGAAGAGGCTGCTAGTGACATCTTCACAATTTTGCTGTATTCTGTTTCTCAGGCTTGCAGCCGTCAATGGCACCAATGTCCTTAATGACTTTTTTTTTTGAGATTGTCCCAATGGCATTACTCAAAAAAAGTATTATATTCTTGCAATTTTCATTTACCCAATGAACTAAAAGTATCTCACTCTAATGTAGAAGTGGTAGCCAGAACAATATTGCTATTACAGTTCACATCTCCTAAGTAAGTTTTCAAGCTTCCATTTTGCTGGAAACTATATAAAGCCTGTCATATGAAACTGGAAGCTTTTGCTATGAAGTCAGAAGCAAATCGCTCAAGTTTTGGATTATTACTAGTTTTACTTGTCTGTCATTTTTAGTACCAAATAAAATAATTGTAACTACTAGACAGCCAACTGTATGATGTTAGAGTGCACACAGCCTGATCTTTTCCTCTCCTATCATATAGGTTTCTCTACAACAGTGGAATTTCTGTATGAATTGCAATATCAATCAAATGAAATTAAATCTCAGCTTGAATCTTTAATTGGTGTGCATCTGGTTCGAAGAGAAAGGGATACAGAATCTGGAATCATAACACTGATCTTTAGTGTAATATTTGCACCTTACAAACCAATGAGGTAAGCTCCTGATTACCAACAGAACATGCAATAAACCCCTGTCTAGTCATTCTTAGCTATGTAAGCACCTCCCTGCATTGTTTTCCTCATTTTGTTTTCACCTCTGAGATGTATTATTTTAGATTTTCTCACTTGTTGCTTCTCAGTATGATATCTTTGGTATCAAAACTGACAGTGTTTCTTTTTATTGCTTGTGAGATGGTTTTGTTGAGTTACTTACTGCCTTAGTCCAATCAATTTACTTCTAAAAATTGGAGTACTGAAAGACTTACAATGAAAATCAGTTCTCAAAATTTACAGAAAGCATATAGACAAAGCAGTCTATCAGTCTTGAAGAACTTTTCTTAGCTGAGCATGTGTGCCTGTTCTTTAGCTGGAAGGGATGGTTGAATTTTAAAGTAGTCTCTGGTGCTCCAGTAACAGCAATCTACAGGAAAATATCCTCTTTTATAGCTGTGATGTGAAAAATTATGGGTTTTCTTCAACTTACATTAGTCCATCTCACCTCTTGAAAAAAAAAAAAAGAAAAAAAAACAAACTGTGAGAGGGAGATACTTTTGGAAAGAGAGGGAAGTTGTGCTTTCCTGTTGAAGCAGTCAAATGTGTATGGGGAGGAGGTTGGAAGGAAACTTCAGTAAGATGCAGGCACTAGGTAAATTCAGAGTCTCAACATTACCAGGAAGATAGGGAGCAGTCACTGCTGAATAGAATGCTTTGCATGCCAGGAGGGTATTTTTAGGATGCAGGAGGCAATGGTATTTGCAGTAGTCCAGAAGGTTACTAAAATAAACAAAGAGCAAAACTTTAGGAAAGACTGTCCCTCCACCTCATTCAGTGTCATTGTGTCAGAAAGGAGATTAATTTAGAAAGCCTTTTTATTTCTATTCTGTCCATTTTTTTTATTATTGCTGTTTTTTCAGGTTTTTTTTAATTTTTATTTTTACGTACTTGAGATCTATCAGACTTCATGTAGAGGACTCAATGATTGCAATTAATTACTTTCTTTGTCATCAGAACCTACAGCACCAACTCCCTTCTTAGGCAGTCTGAAGACATCAGAGCCTGGAATTTTTCTAAAGAAAACAGAGTTAGGTCAAATCTATTTGATTCTAATATGAACTGCTAACATGGTCTGGCCCAAATTCTCCTCTAAGACCACAGTAAATAAAGAATAATGAGTAAAACAAATTGAGTAAAATTTGTTTAACTCAACAGAGAGTAAACAGAAGAAACAAATCTCATGACTGTGCCCATCATTTTGCTTTCATATTATGCCCATTCTTGTACTTTGCTGTAAATATCAAATGTATTTAGTTTACATTCCAGTCTAAAGTGCAAGTGATGCGTACTATGCCATGTAAAATTAAGGATATATTCCAATTTAAAACAGTCTGTATTTTAGTTTTAATGTAGTATAGTTCTACACACTCAAGGCTTATTTTGGACATTAATTTACTGAGTTTATGTTTGATAATGCTGTACTATGTAATTAATGTTTTTATCTGAAATTTAAAGGAATGAAGCAACTTTAGTAGTACAGTGTGCTACAGGAGGTGTTTGGAAGTTTCCAATGCTGTTCATTGCTACGAGGGCAGAAGTGGACGATGTCATGAACATTGAAGCAGTTGGCCTGAATAAAGAATCTATAGTTGGCTTTAAGCTTACAAGCCAGACAAGGTAAAAATACTTATGATAAAGAATTTATGCAGTTTGCTGAGGCTAGAACTCACACTCGAACACATCAGGTAGGATAAATTTGGGCAACAGAAACATAATTGAGCTGCAGCTATGTCAGTAATACATTGTTACTTTCAAGTGCTGCATTGTATAGGTAACAAATGTGATATTGAAGCTGTACTGTAGAAAACAGAAACATTCTACATTTAGGCTGTAGAAAATTTGTGGAATAGATCCAAATGCTTATGTTATGACTTTAAAGTTTGGCCTAAAATGCTTATGTATGTTAAATTGTGCAATATAATGTTAAGGCAGGTGTGTTGTGATATTAAAGGCTCACTGTTAAAGCCTTAATGTTTTTACTCATAGATTGTTTTTCAAAGTACTTTGTACTTACACCAAGTTAAAAACAATCCTTTGCATTGTGCTTTAAATATTTTTAAATGTGCCATTTTTAAAAGTATTTCTGTTTTATTATGCAAGGATATTATTAATTCATCTCTACTCTGCCCTTTCACTAGATAGAGTAATTGTGTCATTCTTCAATATTTTGTTACTCTCTTTTTTAAAAGTCCTATGGAAATCTCTGTTATTATATTTTTACATACTTTTAATTATTTTCTCAGAGATTCATGATGTTATAGCAAACCCACTGTGTCATTTTTCTACAGCAGAAAGTTGAGGAATAAATTGTGTGGTAATGATAGATAAGTTTGAAAATATCAAAAAGCAAACCTGAAAGAACCATGATGCTTACAATCTAATTTGCTTATGGAATTGTTTTTAAATATCCTTTTTTCTTTAAAATTGACTTTTTTTACTTTATATCTAGAAAATGTGCCAGATATGCTGATAGATCGTTGACTTTCAGTATAGATACATGTTTTTGTAGCATCCACAGCAGGAAGTGTTCTTGGTTCCAACTGATTTTTTTTTTAAGAGCTTATTTCCAAAAGCTATGCATCTAAGATGGACAGTTGTTCCAGCTTTTAGATGGCTGTCAGTGATGACAATTACTGACGACTCTGGAAAAGGCTACTATCAAAGTGTTCAAGTTAACAGCTTCAATAGAACAGGCTGCTTCAGGAACAAAAGTGAAGCAATTGCTCTGGCAATACTCTAATCTCCTGGTAGATATTTGATAGTAGTGAAGAGACCTAATGTTCTGCAGAAAGGTATTATAAAACCTGAATCATTATAGTTATATAAAGAAGGAGCCAGAAGGACTGAAGACAGCTTCTCTTTTTCCTTAAACAAATTCCAGCTTTGTTTTACATAACAAGGATTCTTCCCATATATTCCAAATACAGAATGTAATGCTTGCACGTACTGAATAAGATCCGTGTTGTAAATAGTGCCAACAACTGATCTGTAAGTTTTATGTTGCTTTATCTTATCTTTGATTTGCTTAGGAAATTTTGGTGATAGAGGTTTTGTTGTAGAAATAGAACACTCAGCCAACCAACATTTAGCATAAAGAATCTGCAGTTTAAAAGCAATTACACAAGAAACCTGTACATTACAGAAGTGATATAATGCTTGAATAACTCAGATGACTTAGATTTAAATAAAACCATTAAGTATTAAAATATTGTTTAGAAGTTTCAATTGGGATATGGAGTATCATCCTATAGACCTTCCCTGGAAAAAATTAGCAGCACAATCCCATACAGAATCAGTTTTGGTACTTAAGGAGAGGTGAGGTTTTTTTCACCCTGCATATAGATACTTTCTGTCTTCCTTTCTTCTGCTGAGTGGTACCTTATGGCACTGCTACTTTGAGAGTAACTGGGCCAGGGGAACACATGTATTTCTGAGTAACTAGCTAGAAAGGGACTCTGCAGCTGTGTCTCTTTCTCCCTCTGCTATTTGCAGGACAGAGTGGTTGCACAGCATTGCTGAAAAGACCTGTACATCTTTTTGGGTTAGTAGGGTGCATAGTGATGCAACAAAAAATATTTGAGAACCACAGGGCCCAGAAAAGGCTCAGTATCTTATTAAGGACAGATTAGTATTCCCTTATATGTACCAAGTTGAATGAGGATCTTCAGTGATTCAAACAGCACCTTCGGTGACCACTACAAAGCTATGAGGTTTGTGGTTTTAGCTTTCTTTTTCTTTATGGCTACTGCAACTCAAATGTTGGCTTCTCCCTTTAATCTGACTCCTCCCCTCCCCAGCAAAATCTTCAAGGTGTACAACATATTTCAGACTGAATTAATGATTTTCCATTTTACCCATCCCTAGATTTGATGTAGTTGCTTCAGAAATGATGAACAGTTACAAATGGGAGGTAGTTGCTACGCTGTTCACAACAATCTGCAGTAGTCAAAGCTCTGAGAGTACATGCAAATATGTAATGCACTCTCTCTTTTAATACATTTAAAATTGACACACACATGCTGGCAATGAGAACCATCCCAGTATCTTCTTCAATAAATAATTACAGACACTAAGAATGCAGCCAAACAGTTTGGTTGTACAAAGAAAACTCAAATATGTTTAAAATTGTCTGCACTGAGGACAGTTGTGTTATATGAGTAGTCCAATATTTTACTTTCAGCTTTAAAAGTTCTAAAGGGACATCCTGTTGAATGGTCTCTTGTAATTACATTAAGATTGGTTAGCATCAAATAAGCAGATTTAACTTGTTAAATAAGAAAAATCTGCTACTTTTTAACATTCATAGAAGACCTTTTTTCGGTTTTTGTCATAAATTTAGGTTTAATTCAACACCAGCTGAAATCATTGACAACATTTCCACTGAGGTAATTGCCTTTGGTACAAGCCTCTAATGTTTGTGTTAACATTAGTGTTTATTTTAATACCAAATCCATTATTGAATACCAATGATTTACAGAATGACAGCAGTATTAACCAAAAAGAATAGATAGAATATTATCCCTGGAAATAAAAATTACAGAAACTTGTTTGATATCCATCTGAAATTATTGGTCCATTATTTTATGCTGATGTCTATAATTGAAACAGAGAAGAAAAATTCCAAAAGTTATGCTCTGCTTAAGAAAGCTAGTCATTTCTATGTTTGTTTTACTGAAAATAACTTCTTACTGTATTTTTAATCAATTATGTTTTGGGATCAGAACAGTTGTATTAATACAGACCTGTTTTTTGGAGAATATTTACTACTATGCACTCCAGTACAGAGGTATTTTGATGGCTGAATTTATTTCTTCACATTGAAATACTGATATCCAGCTACAGCAGAATGTTACCTTATTTGTTTTCCAGTGCAAAGACTTCAGTAGACAACATGAAACATAGATATACAAAGACTATGTTAACTTGAATATTTTTTTGTAAACTACCTTACTTTTGATTGTTTGGTCAAGATGATGGATAAGTCTCTCTTGTTCATTCTATCTACTCATTTCATACACAGCCTCCTTTCACCAGTATAATTCTAGCTTTCCATGTAGCTCTCAGTGATTGTTTTAATCATGTGTTGCTTCCCATATACAGTAAAATTTTATTCATCCTTCCATCCCAGCCTCTCATTCCAATCCTGTGTTTATCACAAACAGGATATTTGTTATATTGAGGAAACTTCTCAGGTAAACTATGCTTCAGAAAAACACACTTAGTCAGCAACTATTATCACAAAAGCAAACAGTGTGATATTAATACGGTCTCCATGGAGTGGTGTCTGCAAAATCCAAGGCTCCACCAGTTTATGGAAACAGAGCTAGAATAAAGAGAGAACAAATACAGGATGACTGGGAAGATGAAATTAGGCTTTAAAATGACTGCATGTGTAGATTTATGTTATCTTAACCTGCATTTCACATTTTGAACACCATTGTGGATATTTTCCTTATTTGCTCTATGCACATTTCCTAGTGCATAGAATAAATGTTCAATTAAAAACATTCCTTGATCACAGAAACAAATCTTAATGCTGTTTGAAGAATAGCAAGCAACTCAGTTTTTTCTGTATCCTCCCTAATTGTGAATGCAAAAGCAAAAAAAAATGTTTACAGTTCCAACTTCAAGAAATATTTCTCTTTTACTGTAATCAGTGCTGTATTTCATTAGTTACCATGAGCCAGAATTATGTATGCTGCAAAAAAAATGTATTCACTAAGTTCTCAGCGCACACACCCTCTCCTCACCCTCCGTCACGTATCACTCTGCATGTTACAGGCCTGGATTCCTATGCCAATCGCTTTGTTACCAGTTCTGCAAATTTCTACCATTAATCCAAAGGTGTAATTAGAATACTTTATTTTAGCATCTCCCACATAGTGGCAGCTGCATATAACAAATGTTGTCTAAGCTCCATTTTTTGGAGTGTGAGTGGAGGCTAGTAGAAAATATCAATAATGATACACATGCAGCAGAGCTTCCAAAAAGTTATGATCATGCTTCCAAATAATACAATACCTGACATGTTACAACACCTTAGCAAGAAGCTATATTTAAACATGTCACCTGGACTGTTTTTAGCAGGAAAAGTCATTTCACCAATCTGCAAATATTGTACCCCTGGGCAGAAGAGAAATGAGACAGAAATCTTAAAATTTTTTGAAGATAAAACACCTGCCTCCTGCTTTGTACACAACAAAATTGGTGTTAAACTTGATAAAGCATTCCTTGACAGTCATTTATCATCCAGTGTTCATATTTTTTGAAAGTCCTTTAATTCTGAAGCAGTCTTTCCAAGGCTATAGAGTGATAATTGGAGTTAAATCCTTTCTGATGTCCAGAGTTCAGGATTTAGAATGGATAATTAAACCGAGTTGGTTTTTGGTATAAAACCTAACCAATTTTGATAGTGAGGATTTCCTAATTTTTTTTCTGTTGTGGTTTTTTTTTGTTGAAAATAAATTATCTTAATCATACCAACTATCACTAATAATTTTATAGAATTTGACTACTGTATACAGTTAATAAGTTTAAAGAACTTCATTACTTAATAACTAAAATTTCTTGTGTCATCCAACAAGTGTTAACTACAAATTACAAGAGGTAGGTTTAGGTATGATTAACTATTTTTGGAAGCATATTGTAACATTTTCAAACCATATCTCTTATTTGCTTAAGAAGTTATATACTTTACTGATTAAGACATTTTGTTATTCTTCTTTTATTGGAAAACACCCACATTTGATGAAAACATTATGCATTGTTTTTTATGTATAGTTTGCAAAACTGCTGAGTTGGTTGTTGATGATCCTTGAGGTCTTTTCCAACCTTAATGATTCTATGAGTTTTGTAAAGGAATACATTTCTACAGGAATAATTTACTGCTTCACTAGTTTGAGGAAGACAGAAGTAAACATTAAAGCTACTTTGAGCCTTAATTTAATAAAGGCTTATATTTTCAGATTTGCTTGGTATTTTAGAAGTTTTGCAGTGAGATTTCTGTAGGAGTATGAATTTAAAGGTTTTCTTTAATTGAAGACATAAGGTGCTATTCTTTTTTAGTTTACTAATTTGAAAATTGTCTAACATGAGAACGATTGTAAGTACAGACTTCTGTTTAAGAACAATGCTATTTAAGAACAAGATTAAAGGAGTAATTGTAAATATACCTATTAAATACTAGCTCAGTTTCCACTCTTCCTGGTTGCCATTATTTCATTGTCCAATTATTATTTAAATTCAAATTAATATTTACTCTTGTTCATTATTTAAGGGCAGAGTTCATATTGGCTGATAGCAATATCAAACCATTATGACAGGAATCAAGGAACATACAGGTGGAAAGACACATTTGCTTTCTCGGGTTTATATGGCCTCTGCCCTCATACATACTAATTCATTTGTGCTTGGTTCATGTGTGTTTTCAAAACTCTACACATCATTAAACTTTATCGAGTATGTTAGTATCTGCCACCCTTGAGTTAAACAAAAACCTTCTTGAAAAAAATGTAGACTGCCTCATCAGTGTCCTTCATGGCTGAGTGTCATGGTTTAATCTCCGAGGGCAGCTCAGCCCCACCCAACCTCTTGCTTGCTTCCCCCACACTGGGATGGGGGAGAGAATCAGAAGGGTAAAAATAAGAAAAATCGTGGGAAGGGAAGGGGAGGGAAGGGAAGGGAAGTTAAGGGAAGGGAAGAAGGGAAGGCGGAGGTTTTAGGTATGACTATATGTGTTCATGTAAGTATGTATGTGTATATATATTTTACTCACCACAGAAAAAAAAAATTGCCTCTAGTACCTTGTGCCAATGCTGTCAAGAAGCATGCAGATGTTCTTTTTTATTAGTTTTTTTTAATTTTTCTTTTTGAAAATTAAAATCTAACATAGTTGATACAATAAGACTTTTTCTCTGACTTGCCAAATATCTTGTGTGCACAATTGTCAGTTTTATGACAGTTTCATTTTAAACTGTCTGGTCCCCTTGTCAGGACTAAAACTATAGCTTTTTCTCGTGTCTGTTTTTTGACTTACTCTTTTGAGGAATCATTTACGGTCTCTGAAGAAAAATGCTGTTGTATCACACCCTGCTAAGAGACAATTTCTGCAGGAATAAAGTCCCTATTTTCATGTGTCTTCTGTGCATGCACCCTGTCTAATCTCCCTTAGCATTTCATCATTGCATCTGTAGTCTAAGTCATGCTCTTGCATGCCTTATGGAGACAAAAAGTGCTTATTAGGAATCATCAACCCTAACTGCTTACCAGAAGACAGACTGAACACAGGAGATAAAGAAAGTGTTGTCTTAAAATGTTCCTAAATCTAGTCTACAGAGCAATGATGTTGGAATTGAAGGCCTGTGTTCAGGTGTGTATTTCCAGAACCAGAGTTTGAATATTAATTTCAGATGTTTTTGATGAGTGTTCTACTCTGCTACTCAGTCCAAGTGGCATTACTTCTTTTTCATCCTGTGCCTGCCCTTTGTCTGTTGTGGGTATGCTCTAGGCCGTCACAGCTGAGCAGCCCTTGCAGGAAATACAGATCTGAAAATTCAGGGCTTAGAATGCACATAGACAGGAACCTAGGCTGTAGCAGGATTAGCGCTTATGGCTCAGGGCTGTAAACTCAGGTGCACAACTTTAGGTACCACGAACAGAGATTGTCAGCATACGTTTGATGTAGCAAGACTTGAAATGTAGTTTCAGACATTCCATAGTTTTGCCCACCTCGCTGTCACCTAAAGGAAAAGCTAGGCTAAATTTGGTAATGCACCCAAGTCCAATGGCACTGCTAAATTTCAGTAATTTTTTTTTGAGGAGACAGAAGCCTTTTGGTTTCTGTTTTCTGCACTTGCGCTATTTGTTTCTACAAACTTACAGTATGACCTTTTTTTCATGAGGGTATTTTGAATTCAAGAACACCTTTCGTGAGAACATATTCCAAAGGAGAGCTTTTTTTAAACAAGATGACATAGACCCAGCGTACCACCCACTGAATAGCACTTGCCCGGGAAATGTGGGACACTTCCGTAGAGATATGAATTGTCATAAAATATTAAATTTCACTTCTTTATGAGTATTTTCTTTGAAAAGCAGTGCTCATTCTGGTGTGATGATCCATGAATAAACAGATTTTAACAGCTTTTATTGAGATGCTGTTAGTTTTTCATTCTTCAAATTTTATCAACTAAAAATGTGTTCTCTCTAAGCATGCATGATACTTGCCCTGCTGTACCATGGCAGGGTGTTGAGGATTATTTTTTGACCATGCAGTATTATTTCTAGTTTCAATTTCTTTTGCTCTCTTTCTGACCAGATAGTGATAGAGTTGTCCTCAGCAACACGTATAAAGACTAAAAGGAGAATGCCTGACTGGAAAATACAAAAATATATATTGTTTTCATGCTGAGAAAGTTTATGGCAAGGAGTCCCTGAGGAACTGTGATAGACAGGCTCTAGTTTGAGATTGCTTTGTAGTCCCCAGCCACTGTCTTTACCAGGAATAAGATATTTCTGGGCGGTCCAACAGTACTGCCATGAAGCAAGCAATTGGACAAGATCTGCAGTACTGGTGATAGAAATTCTTATGATACAACAGACATACAATAATATCAACACAGGAACCTAATTATTGTTTTTGCAGTACCTCAAATTCTTTAGTGTATGAGATATGAAAAACTTGGAAAACAGTGGCAGAAAACTGTTGTTTTCCATATGTTCATTTGAAGGCTTTCAGAACTCCCTCCCAATTTAGTAACACTCCACCAGATTGCAAATTTAGTTCTAGTCATAAAACTTAATAAAATGGGTGGCTTGTCAGTTTTATTTGGTTAGAGATTGGAAGAGTGAAGATTTTTTTAATAGGAAAAGTGGATTTTCACTCTGACATGCAATTTCTTTCTATCACTATTATTACGTCTTTACAGGTTAGATGATTCTTTTATTTTTAGTGGCAAATGCTAGCATTATTCTGTAGTTATTATAATATTTATAACAGCATGTATGTTTGGAATGGAAGACCAGTATGCAGGTTCCTGTGTATAAAGATTTTAAATATTTATGAATAAATAATAATTACTACAGAATATTTGTTCTATAAGTAAGAATGCTATTATTATTCTGTAGGCATTCCATGGAATTCCAAGTCTACTGAGTCATGCCACATGGTGGTCTGAAATGTTTGATTGTAGATAAATTGTATTAAGATATCATAAAAGGCACAACAGCTCCCTGTGCTTTTCTGTAGATACCCAGAGCCGTTCACTGCGCAGTTCGTGGCGGGCAGTGGTCCTGACTTCTTTGTACTGCCACAAGCTGGAGAACTTCTTCCAGCAAGCGCTGGTGGAACTCAGATAACTGTGGGATTCAAGCCAAGAATGTATGGCAAGAAGCATACAGCAACACTTGTAATTCAGGTAAGCCTTCATGAATTCAGTACACAAATATACCTTCAGGAGTGGAAGAGAAAAAAATCCTATACAGAAAAGCAGCACTGAAACACACAAATGCATGCACTGTGATTATTTTACTACTCTTCACTATGGACAGCAATAAAACTAAATTTTGAAAATGGACTCAGGACAACCTGGAAAAACAGTATATTTTAATTTCTGTGTTATCCCTTTGTCATCATCACCAGAGACAGATACTTATCTTGATACATTTACTCAAACTCCACAGACAACAGGGCAGAATGACTTTTCACAGAAAATCAAAATAATCTTGTCAAGAACTTGTGAAGAATATATGAGTAATTGAATATATGAGGCCTAGGTTATTGATTTGACTTGTATTATACCTCATAGGTTCAAAGGCACTAGAAGATAGATACTAAACTGTTGAAGGCAGAATTTCAGAACAGGAAGCCAGGGATAATTTTTTTAAAACTAGCGTCAAAATAAAAAGAATTTGTAGCCATGTAGCTTCTGTAAGTCTGAAGGTCAGTAAACATTTGAAAACATTTATTCCTTCAGTAGTAGAAATGTTCTTATTACTGCAGGAGTTAATTTTCAAGTCATTCTTTAGAAGGAAGCTGTTTGTCAAAAGCATACAGTGGCAGCAAACACTCCAAACTCTCTACAGATCGTGGTCTGCACTTTAAATCTATTCACTGCATGCTGGCAATGTTTTCAGGGTACTAGAAGTGAAACAGCAGTATTGATTTGAAAAATAAGACGGTCAAAACAAAGTTGATAAAAAGATGCATGGCAAATGACTAGTGTTTTATCTCTCTGAGTGACAACTTGTACAAGAGTGAATAAGAAATTCTAATCCTGGAAAAACAAGAAGGCCCTTTAATCCCTCCTACTTGTTTTCTTTTACCGTATTAGACGTTTAATTAATTTAGTCTTTTTACATAAACAGCAGTGATGCTTATCACTCTTCCATTTGAAAAAGAAAATAAATGACTGGATTTATTCTGTGTTCTTTTATATTTGCATAATGCTATATGACACATTTACAGTGCTCAGAAACTTCTAGTCTCATTCTGGAACTGAGCTGTTTTTAGTCATGACACATGAATGTACTAGTCTTGTTTGTCTTTGGTTTTACTTCCGTCACTAACAAAGATCTTTAACATAATGAAGTTGTCTGGAAGGGATCAACATGATGGTCAAAAGTCATTATTAGCTTTCTAAGAACTCAGTAATCAAAAATTTCCTTTTAGGAATTTATCAGTACAGATGGGCTCTGAGTAACTGGATTTTTAACCTACATCTACTCACACCTCAGTCTCTATGATCTAGGCAGACTGCTCTTCACATCTCTACCTTTGGTACTGTGTGTGGGTGTAGGAAGTCACTCATACATATTACATATACATATCAATCACATCTTGTCCAGTCTATGCCTGTATGCTCAAAAATACATTGAGGACTCTTAGTGCTCATAAGTGCAGTTTTTTTGGCCAATATTACACCATCACATTAAGTTAGAGATAGTTCTAACACTCTTACTCTAATGGAAGTATTAAACTGTTTCAGTAATATTTTGAAGAGGCTCGTGTTCTCTTTGCTCTTATTCATAGTCCTGTTGTGTACACTGGACTTCTCTTTTTCCTCTCCACACCAGCTGTCATTCCTGTTGTTCTAATATAAGCCAGAGCATCTGCGACTGTGTGTAATTCTGCTGCTGTGCTCTCAACATTGACCTGAAATAAGACTTGATGATATGTTGACAATACCAGCTCATGTTTGCCTTTCCTGTTAGCTGAAATAATTTTCATTAGTGACCTGATGGAAACAGATTTAGTTAGATGGCAAAAACAGTATTAAATCACTCTTATTGGTGGAATAATAATGGAGGTGGTGAAACACAATTGATGTTGGACCTAACACTGAAGAACCACTCTTGCACATATCCTTTTCTAGCCAATAAACTGGCTGAGGCTTTGGGCTATTTTTAGAAGCAGTGAGGAATCTTGCTGTAAAATTTCCTTTCAGTTTCTGGCTGTAAAGTCACAGCCCTAACAGTAACATATTTTTATTATTAAATTCTATGAATAGTGAGTAGCAGAACTGTCAATTTCCTATGCTTCATTGAACAGTGATAATTAGGCAATAAAGTAGCACAGAAGACAGTGTGAGTTTTTTGGTTTATGTTGGTCATTACAATCATGCTGTAAAGTAAAATGGGAAGTTGGGATTATGGAGAAAGATCCTACAGACATCTTTTTCTCATTTGTTGAAAACATTAAATGCAAATATGTACAAGTAAATTTTTTGGTTTAATTGTGCTGCTGAGAGCTCAATCCTGAGGAGCTAATTAGCATTAGGAGATTACAATTTGTCTTCACCACAATTTACTGTGTATATTTTATTAACTGAATGTATGTATATACAACTGAAATAATGTAGCCTCATTTATATTTTCTGCACACAAATCAAGTACTTCATAGGATATTTTGTGGGTTCTTTAGGACTTTAATATTCATGAATACTTACAGTAGATTTTATTAATAGCAGAAAACAATTACTTTGCTGAAGCAATTAAATGTTCTTTAACCATCATTAAGACTTCTGTTCTCAGTCAACTATGTATAAAACAATTGAAGTTAGACAATTATTTAAATAGCTGTTAGGAATCTCAGTTTTGTAAAAGCGACGCAGAAAATAAAAATTCTTTAGATCAAAGAATGAAATATAATAAAAAGCCGGTGAAGTAAATAATCATTCTTGTTTCTGTAGCTGTGAAAGAGAACATAATAATCTAGTCAAGCTACAAGTAAGAAACAGTGACATAGTGCATGAATAACATTTTAAAATAGGTATTATTCCATAATCCAACTTCTACATTTATAATAACTTTCATAAAGAGTGCAGTTCTAACTGAAAAAAAAGGCATTGCCACTAATGATAACTTAGTGAAGAGAGCATGCTTCCCAGATAAGGTATGAAGTGCGGCGAGGAGAAAAAGGACTTTCTCAGCCACACTGACATCTCAGAGTGGTGAGCCGGTAAAGCTCCAGAGAAAACCAACAGAGCTTAGTGATAGCAAGATGCAGCTGGGGTAGGGGGATTCTCTGTGAAGGCTTCCTGGGCAGGGATTGCTGCCAGGTACAAGATGGAGCAGCCAGGAGGCTGGCGAACCCTTGGGAAAGGATGTATTGAAGTTGGCTTACAGTTAATTTCTTGCACTATACTGAATTCAGCTAGAGACCCAATCAACTGCTTTGTAATTTATGGGTGAGACTACAGAGATATTCTAAAACAGAAGGTACACGAAATAAGTCTTAAATGATAAAATAGATGTCAGAGTAGACCAGATTGCAGGTAACATTATCAAGCCCTCCAGAAGTCAGGCTTGTGCACCTTTGTTACTGAATAATCACTAACTTAGCCTATGGAAGATAGCATATCAAAACAATTTGTCATGCTGTTCTGGAAACAAATGATGCAGTGTACATGCCACAGTACACAGGTGTGGCTTCTCTAAGCTTGTCTATGCAAACTTGCATGTCTTAACAGAAATGGTGCTATTATCTATTCAGTAGCTTGGTGAAAATATGTTCTGGGTTGTTCCTGGTAGTTTTGTTAATTACCATAGTTTAATGTTATTCTAAATTGTATCTCTTAAACAGAACGAGCAAGAAAAAATGTAACAAAGTTAATAGCATAATTTAAATAATTTCACATTAAATAAGACATTGCCTGTGTCCCTCGCCACTGGTTGATGTTGACCTGAGCTTTGTGATTAAAAGCAGAGATCCAGAAAGTTCATTACAGGCAGTGAATGTAGCACATCATATAGAATCATAGAATCATTAAGGTTGGAAAAGACCTCAAGGATCATCACGTGCAATCATCAACCCATACCACCTAACTCAGTCTAGTTAGCAACACTGGATTTTGAATGCAGAATCAATACTCAAAATTTTTGATTCACATGCATGAGGAAAGGTTACTTTGCTTAGTGCAATTATAATCCTCATAAGGCCAAAATACTATAATAATATGGTAACCATTGTTGTATGAGGGTATTCAAGACATTACCAGTTCTGTAGGAATGGTTGATGTTCGTATTACATCTAAGCGATGCTGCAAGACATCTAATGTTTGAATTGCAGAAGACAATTAAGCTGTCTCTAATTCTATCTGGAAATGTTCCTCTAAGCTAAGAAAATTATTGTTAGCCATCTTTTTCATTAGAAGTTGCTCAGAGCCCGTCTGAGCATTGGTCTGCATGTGGGAGGTGGTGAGCCTTTGTTTTTTTGGTGGGTTTTGTTTGTTTGTTTTCTTTCTCTTTCCTTCACTTCTTAAACTGTCTTTTTCTTGATCCATGAGTTTTCTTGCCTTTGCTCCTCCCTTACACAGTTCACATAAAGGTTTGTTTTAATTTCATTCTGTGTACACTGATCATAATTGGTCATTTTTTGCTTGTCATCACCGCAGTATAAATTAAGGGTCAGGGAACACTGGATGTACTATCTGTAATCTCCCGTGTTTCAACTTATTTGGAAGCCTTGCAAATTTTATTTGGACTTTCCTGATTTAACACTGGAAGACAATTAGGATACGTTTTACCTTAAAATACATGATATTTGCTCCCAACATTTAATGCCCTTCTAACAAAGATTTCTCTGGCAATTAATTGGCATGTAACTCAGTAGCACTTCCAGCCTACAATGAATACACATAGATGATCTGTGTTCTGCAGATTAATCCTATGAATCACGAGCCATCTGTAAGAATGGATCGAATATAAAAAAAATATACTTTTATATAAATTATTTGGTGACTGTTACCACTATTTGCTGAATAAATTACTTCACTGGAGGGAAGGGATGCCATCCAAAGGGTCCTTGACATGCTAGAGAGGTGGGCCAGTGTAAACCTCATGAAATTCCACAAGGCCAAGTGCAAGGTCCTGCATATGTGTCGGTACAATCACAAGTGCAAATACAGGCTGGGCAGAG